CAGTTTTTGGCTTGGGCTGAGTTTGAACCCGCCACCTCTGGCATATGGGGCCGGTGTCTTACTCAGAACACATTATTCTTAGTAAAGCATCTCAAGAATGAATCCTATATACTCAATCTTGATATGAGGACAATTAATGACATGGTAGAGGTGGGGGAAGGGGAGAGCAGAGTGAGAAGGAAGATGGAAGGGGTGGGGAAAAGGAGAGAGAGGGAAGGAGGGAGGGGTGTGGGGGTCTTGGTGTGTGACACACCTTTTGGGCGCAAGACACAATTCTAAGAGAGACTTTACCTAACAAATGCAATCAGTGTAACCTGGTTTCCTGTACCCTCAATGAATCCCCAACAATAAAAAAAAGTTAAAAAAAAGCTTAGTAGAAAAAGTCAAATAGAATAAAATGTATAATATGCCATAATCTAGATAAATTAAACATAGATGCATATAAAACAATACATTTATTGGAAAAGCATAGAGATAAGGAGATACACATTTGAGAAGTGGCTTGGGAAGGAAAAGGAAAATATGAGTAAGAAACATAAGCCCAAGAATGAAAGAAAAAATAACTGAATAAATGTGTGCATATGTCCTGAAGTAAGAGATATGCTTAACGCAACTCTCTACTCAGGAAAGCTAAAGACAAAAGCAATAACCACCATCATCAAACATTAAGCCATCATATAAAGGAAGAGAAATGTTTATATTAGGGCATACAGGTTATAGCATATTAAGAGAAGGGAATCATATGGACAATAAATAAATAATTGTGGTAGAAACCTTGGTGCATAAACATTAACCGGACTTTTTGCCAGACAGTGGAATCAGAATTGAGAGGCAGTTATTATGACTTATCCAGAAAGTGATGATTTCAGGAGTTCTTTGCAAGACCAAAGAAAATTATATTGGTAGGCTAGGGGAACAGGACACCACAGGTCCACAGAACTCCTCAGAAGAGCCCAAAGGCACAAGATGGCAATCACAGAGCAAGAACAAATAAGTATGGAAAGAGACAAAGGAATGTCAGGCCCATGTGAACAGGGCTTTTTATACAGAAGGAAGATCTTATACTTTATGGTTTAAACAGAGAATGAAGATTTTGACTCTAAGCAATTGAAGTAAACATGGTGTATATCATGGACAGGGTGATTTAAATTATTGTTTTTCCTTATCAGAACAATCTTGTACATAATTCCTTGGCTTAAAATCCTTCAATGACTCATTTCCCACAGAATAGCCCAAAATATTAGTATTTCATAATATGACCCCAACCCAATTCTCCAGCCATTGCTATCTAACATCTACCGCTGGCTTTGCATAGGAAAAAAAGTTCAATAGGTTAAAAAAAAACAAAAAATTACCATTTATAACTATCATTTTGAAAATGTGTGCTATCAATCACAATTCAATTTAATTCATATTTTTCTTTACCTGTTATGTGGAAGGCAATGTACTAGGTACTTCAGGGAAGTGGTTTTCAAAATCTTTTTACTGCACCCCAGAGTAAAAAATTTATTTTTACTTAGTGACCTATTCAATATACATACATATATTTTGAAACAAATGTCTCAAAACCATCTGTATCCTTGCTACGTGTGATGCAATAATATTTCCTATTTTATTCCATTCTCCTTTGCTTAAAAAAGGATAACAGTCAACTCACTAAATTAGTTGGCTGTAAACTAACATTTGAAAAACAGGGTTATATAGCACTTGAAATGGGTCTAGTGCAACTGAGGAAATGCGTTTCTAATTTTATTTCACTTTAAATAATTTAAAATCTAAATTGAAAAACAAAAGCAGTGGAAAATATTTTTCCATTAACACAACTTAATTTTCTGGTAGGACTGCACTTTGCTTTAACAGCTGCAATGCTAAGATATTATTATAGTGCACAAGTTGGGGCCTGTGTTGTTTCTAGTATTATAATCCATCGCTGATCTTATTTGGGTCAATGAACTGATTCAGTTCTAATTATTTTTTCATATACTAAAATGACATTGTAATTTGCTTATTTAAATATCTCATATAGAAAGAAAATAAACAGACTGAAATGGAAGAAGATATGCTGCAAATGTTTCACAATGAATGGAAATGGCAATTTGCTTCAGCAGAGCAAAATGAGACGTCTGCCATGAAAAAAAATTTAAGATAATTAAGTGAATAATATAAAGGGTCATTTTCAGCAAATGCATACTGAATATTATATAAAATTTCTTCTCAATGATCAAAAAAGAATCAAGAAAATTAGGTACCTGAAATCACAATTAAATGTCAACAGACACTTAAGTGATTTTTAACAGATCTGAACTTAAAATTTGGCCAGCTATAAAATGGTTTGGATTCTTGCAAAAAAAGAAAACCATTTTGGATGGATAGGTGGTAAAAAAAATTATTTTTAGCTATGGAAATCCGTTAAAAATCATGAGAAAAAGACTAAAAACATATTCTACAGAAGTCTCAGATCTTTATGTTCCAAATCATGGCCTATAGTGTGTAAGACCGTTCTAAGAATATCAAAGACCTAAGCTGGGCACAGTGGCTCACAACCACAATTCCATTGCTCTGGGAGGTTAAGGCTAGAGGTTTGCTTGAGGTCAGGGGTTTGAGCCCAGCCTGAATAAGAGCAAGACCCCATTTCTACTAAAAATAGAAAAATTTGCTGGTCACAATGGCCTGTGCCTGCAGTACCAGTTACTTGAGAGGCTGAAGTAGAAAGATCGCTTGAGCCCAGAAGGTCACAGGTACAGTGAGGTAGGATGATGCCACTGCACTGTAGCCAGGGCGACACAGTAAGACTCTACCTCAAAAAAAAAAAAGTGAGATTATCTTGAAGATATCAGTCAAAACAACTCAATGATTCTAACTATATTTACCTTAACAATCTACAAAAGCTCCTCCGATAACTCAGCCTCTGGCTAGCTGCAGCAACACTGGGAGGAAGAGGAGGCCGGGGTGGGAAATAAGCTAGTGTTGCAGAAAATATTAAGCAGACAAATCCAAATTCTGAAAGAAAAGAAAATAAGTAAAATGTTAACTGGGCAACACAAATAGTTGAATGCTTCAAGTATTTATTTATCTAACAAGTACTTACTGAACATCAACTAAGCCACCGGCAATACAAACTTAAGCAAAATAAAGTACCTGGCTGCGATATCTCAGTCTAGGAGTAACAAACTTCAGCAGGTCACAGGAAAGAAGCCACAGTATAAACAAGGAAGCATGTTGGTACATGTACTACAGTACAACACACAGACAAAAACACTGAGGGGGTAAACAAGGGTTGCCCTACGGAGAAAATACATTAAAAACCAACAGTAGTACTAGGTCTTGGAAGACTGTCTATTTTTTTTTATTGAATGGTAACTATGTACATTAATACACTTCTGGGGTACAGTGTGGGGTTTTCACATACAATCCGAAACACTTCCATCAAACTGGTTAACATAGCCTTCATGTCATTCTCTTAGTTATTATTTTAAAACGTTTACATTCTACCTTTAGAAAGATTCACTTGTACCCTTGTAAGATAAACCTCAGAAGTGATCCCTCGGAAGACTGTCTATTAAGCATGGAACTTAGAAAGAAAAAAAATGATACAGAAAACTGGTAAGAACAGGATAGGCAGTTTGAATGATCAAGGATAGGATATTCTGATGCACAATGTAGGACAGATCCAACTTACAGACTGTACAGGAAATTTGAACAAAAAAGCATCTAAAAATAAGAAACCAAGAGAAAGAGAGCAGAATTTAAACACAAGACTAATGCCGAATTTAACCAATCAGTTGTAAAATGAACATTCAGGCCAGGAATGGCTCATGCCTATAATCCTAGCACTCTGGGAGCCCAAGGCAGAAGATCACTTGTGCTCATGAGTTTGAGATCAGACTGAGCAAAGCGAGACCTGGTCTCTACTCACAACAGAAAAATTAGCTGGGTGTTGTGACAGGCGTCTGTAGTCCCAGCTACTTAGGAGGACAAGGCAAGAGGATCGCTGAGCTCATGAGTCTGAGGTTGCTGTGAACTAGGCTGAGGCCATAGCCCTCTAGCCCAGGAGACAGAGCAAGAAAGACTGTCTAAAAAATAAAAAAAAAAAGGGCAGCACCTGTGGCTCAAAAGGGTAGGGTGACAGTCCCATATGCCAGAGGTGGTGGGTTCAAACCCAGCCCAGGCCCAAAACAGAAACAAACAAACAAAAAAAACAAAAAATAAAAATAAAAAAAAAGAGAAAAGTAAAATGAACATCCAAAAAATCTTAGTTTGGTGCCATTATAATAGGGAGGGTCCTAGGCATCCTGGTCTTTCCCTCTCCAGTGCTGGCACTTGGAAGTCCCAGCTTTTGATAACTATGCACAATTTAGTAGAAAAGCACAGCACTAGCAGAAATGTCAGGAAACTTGGAGTACAGACCTGCTTATGCCACTAATTAAGTTGAATATGGGTGAATCCCTCACTCTTTCTGGGTCAACCAAGGGACTGAATTTAGTGATTTTTAGAGGTCCTTTTGGTTGGGTAAATTCTATTGGGTTATTAAATATGAAATGTCTAATCTCAAGTAATAAGTTTCACAGCTGATATTTCTGACATTTCACTTTGACACTTCTTGTTTTTTTTCTTATTGTGAATGCATCCTCATTCTTTCAGAGGCACATTTTGCCTTGTGATTTACCTTTCAAATTTTTTTTAGAGCAATTTTTGTGAAACCGTAAGTCAAAAAATTATGTTATTTTTGAACATGAGTTCTATTATGGAACCAGTGCAGTGCAGACAGCTCAAAATACCAATGAAGTGTTTGGGAAGAATGTGGCTAATGAATGCATAGTACGTGGATGGTTAGAGAAGTTCTGTTCTGGTGATTTTAATCTTGAAAATGAGCCATGTGGGTGGCCTGAGACCAACATGGATAATGAAGAGCTGAAAGCTGTAGTGGAAGTGAATCTATCTCAACCTATATGTGAACAAGCAAAGTTTGACATTACTATACCAAACAATATCAGACTATTTGAAACATATTGGCAAGGGAAAGAAGCTGGATAGATAGAAGCCCCAAGAATTAAACAATTGCCAGAACAGAAATCATCCTTAAGGTTGCCTTTCTTTGCTATCATGACATAAAAGCCAACACTGTGTTGGTAGGGTGATGGAAAATAGATTTTTTTGGATAACTGCAAGCATTCAGCACAATGGCTGGATCAAGATGAAGTGCTGAAACATAGTCCAAAACCAAATATTCATCAAAAAAAGCTAATGATGTCTGTTTGGTGGTTCAGCCCTGATATTACCAGATTCATGAAACCCGGTCAATCGATTACAGTGCACGTCTACTGCAACCAACTGGATGAAATAATGAGGAGGCTTGTGATTAAGCAGCTGAGACTAGTCAACAGAAACAGGCCAATACTCTTGCAAGATGATACTGTCATACAAACAATGCTGCTCAAAATACAGAAGCTGGACTTGGAAACTCTCTGTCATACACCATATTTACCAGACCGTGCAACAAAAGACTATCACTTCTACTAGCCTTGGGACTACCTCTTGCAAAAAAAAATATTCAATTCTCAACAAGCTATGAAAAATGTCTTTCATGACTTCATCGCCATTAGCTCTCCAGAATTCTTGCTGCTGGCATACCACTAAGATGACAAAACTGTGTTGATAGTTTAGGTCAGGGGTCCTCAAACTTTTTAAACAGGGGGCCAGTTCACTGTTCCTCAGACTGTTGGAGGGCCGGATTGCGGGCCCTGGGACAAGTCAGCTGCTAAGCAGGACAGGCAGCGGCAGCAAAAACACCTGGCAGGCCGGATAAATGTCCTAGGCCAGCCGGATGTGGCCTGTGGGCCGCAGTTTGACGATGCTTTGATTAATTGCATTGCTTCTTGTTTGAGATATAATAAACTAAACTTTGGATTCAAAATCATATATTTCAGATTTAAGGACCTGAAAATTCTAGGGCTATATATATTCTCACAAAAGGGACAATATTCATATAAGACACTTAATCATAGGTAATTTTATTTAATTCAACTAGAAATCCAAATATTCCTGATTATTAAAGATAAAACTGTAACAGATTTCTTTCTTCTTTTTTCCTTTTGTGTTCTCATTCTCCTTGGTTTTTGTCAGTCTGAGGAGCAATAGTAAGTTAACAATTTTTTAAATTCATTGTTCTTTTAATTATTAATAATGCTAAATGTGCATCTTCCATATGCTTATTGGCCATTTTCATTTCTTTTGATTTTCTTTTTTAGAGACAGGGTCTTGGTCTGTCACCTAGGCCAAAGTGTAGTGGCATGATCACAATTCATTATTAACCTTGAATTCCTGGGCTCAAGAGACCCTCCCTCCTCACCCTATCAAGTAGCTGGGACTATAGGTATGGTGCCACCTTTCTGGGCCTGTATTTTTTCTTTTGTGATTGCCCTGTTCATATTCTTTGATTATCTTTCTATAGGCATTTTTGTAAACAGTTTCACTGAAATATAGTTCACATAATGTAAAATTCACACATTTAAAGTGTGCAATCCAATGGTTTTTAGTATATTCACAGTGTTGGGCAACCATAACCACAAATAATTCTAGAATTTTTTCATCACCCCCAAAAGAAACTTCAAATCCATTACTTCCAAATCTCAGCCACAGGCATCAGTTATCTATTGTCAGTCTTTATGGATCTGAGTATGCTGGACATTTGCTGTGAATGGAATCATAGGATATGTGTTTTTTCCTGACTGGCTTCTTTCACTTAGTGTAATGTTTTCAAGGGTCATCCACGTTGGAACATGTATCAGTACTCAATCCTTTTTTATTGTAAAACAGTATTCCAGTGTATAGATATACCACATTGTATTTATCTACTTATCAGTTGATAAACATTTGGGTTGTTTCCATGTCTTGGCTATTACATCATATGAATAATGATGCTACAAACACTCATGTATACATTTTTACATAGATGTTTTAATTTCTTGGGTATACATCTAGAAATCAAATTTCTGGGGCATATGGTAATCTGTGTTTAACACTTTGAGGAAATGCTATACCATTTCTAAAAGCGACACCATTTTACATTCCCTCAATATATGAGGATTCTAATTCCTCCACTTTATCCGATTTTCCATTTTATTGGTCATACCCATCCTACGGGGTGTGAAGTGTATCTTACTATGATTTTGGTTTGCATTTCCCTACAGACTTGGAACACTTTTTAGTGTATTTGATGGCCATTTATATATATTTTCTATTTTTTAATGTTTTCCTTGGAGAAATGTGTTCAAGTTCTTTGATACTTGTTAACTGAGTTGTCTTTTTATGTCAAGTTGTAACACTTCTTTATACATTGTAGCTGTAAGTCCATTTTCAGATTTACGATTTGCAACATTTTTCTCCTATTCTGTACGTTGTCTTCATACTTTCTTGATGGGGTCTTCTGAAGCACAGAAGTTTTAAATGTTGATGAAGCACAACTTATATATTTTTCTTTTATCACCTGTGCTTTTGGTGTCCCTTATAAAAAGAGTTTGCCTGACCCAAGGTTGTGATCTAGGAGTTTTATAGTTTTAGCTCTCATATTTAGCTGTAATTTTTATGTATGGCATAAGAAAGGGGTTTAAATTCATTCTTTTGAATGTAGATATCCAGTTGTTCCAGTGTCGCTTATTGAAGACTTTTCCCCTAACTGAATTATCCTGGTACTCTTGTGAAAAGTCAATAAACAATAAATATAATGGTTTGTTATTTTGGAATCTCACTTCTATTCTACTGATTCACGTATCTATCCTTATGCTAGCACCATGCTGTCTTAATTAGCGTGGCTTTGTAGTAAGTTTTGAAAATGAGAAGTGTAAGTTCTCCAATTTTATTTCTTTTCAGTATTGCTTTAGCTATTCCTGGTCTCTTCTATTTCCATATAAATTTTAGGATGAGCTTGTCAATTTCCACAGCAAAGGCAGCTGGGATTTTAACAGTGCAAATTACGCTGAATTTACAGATAGATTTGGTAATCTCTTCACAAAATTAAACCTTCCAACCCATGAATATGGAATTCTTTTCCATTTTTAAGGTATTTTTAAATTCTTTCAGCAGTGTTTTGAAGCACTCAGAGTATAAATTTTACACTTTGTTGATTTTATTCATAAATATTTTATTCTTTCTGATGCTATTATAAATGAATTGTTTTCCTAATTTCATATGTGGCTTGTTCACTACCAATATACAGAAATATAATTGATATTTTACACATTAACCTTGTATTGCAAAACTTTGCTGAGCTTGTTTTTAAAAGATTCAGGAGAATTTTCTATATTTAAAACCACATCATTTTTAATAGAGATTTATCTCCTACTTTCCAAACTGGATTTGCTTCTTTTTCTTGCTCAGTGATGCTGATTAGAACCTCCAATACAATGTTAAAAAAAAACAGCAAAAGTTCCTTGCCTTTTTGTTATTCTAGATGACATGCATTCATTCAATCTTTGTTAAATATTATGTTATTTGTGGGGTTTCTGTAGATGATTTTGAATTAGGCTGCACAAGTGCCTTTCTATTCCTAGTTTATTCATTGTTTCTGTCTTGAAAGGGGTTTGAATTTATCATATGCTTATTCTGCATCTATTAAAATAGTCATTTTTTTCATTCAATCTATTTATGGTATTTACACATATTGAGTTTTGAATGTTGACCTAAATCTTTCATTCCTGGGATAAAGCTCACTTGGTAATAGTATTTCAACCTTTTTGTGTGTTGCTGGATTTGGCTTGCTAGTATTTCTTTATGCCTTTTGTGTCTATGTTTGTAAGAAATATTGATCTGTAGTTTATTTCTCTTATGGTGCCACTGTCTGAAATAATTTAAGAGTCTTTAACCTCTTAAGATAGCAATTCTAGCATAGCATATTTAATGGAATGAAGAATCATGGGAAAATATTCCAAAATGCAAACTGGTAAATACGAAAGCACTAAAGGAATACTGGGAAGCTTTGTGTGGGGGCTTCCTGACTGCATGGAAACCGCGAGCCAAAAGGATATGCACAGCATCAAAACACGCCTAATAGCACTTAAAACCCAGTCATTTAAAAGATTCAGTCATTGCTTAGGCTTTTAATTAAAAAAACTGTATGACCAAAATAAGGCTTAAAACTTGTGTTTCATCTGCTTTCATTTTAATTATTTTTACATTTCAATTTTTTCTTTTTCTATGGGCAGGGGGGAGAATAAATGCTTCATATACTGTCACTACCCTCACTTTCAGTTTTAAACTTTCTAAAATGTATGTTGAGGAGTAAATGTCATCAGTTCTTCAGAATGTGGCCTCTGTTTACACGGTGAACTTCAACCCCCCTAGCTGTGCTTAGAAGGACTTCGTGGCCTGGCTTTCCTCTCTAGCTTCACCTGCTACTTCTCTCAACAGGTCTAAGCCACTCTGAGCTTTTGGTTGTTCGAGTTCCCGCCCTTTCCTGGGTTTTTCCTCTAAAGAGTGCCCTCTGGGGCACTCTTCCTCATGCCTACTATATGTGGCTCTCTCTCATCTTCCAGCTTCCATCTCAGATGCTCTATCTCAGATGCTCTACTTCACCCTCAAAATCCAGGTGAGGGGCTCTTTGTCCGAACTCTGAGCGCAAGTGTAGGCCTTGGATTTATACCACTCATCATTCTGTTTTACAACAATTCATTTACATGTCTGTGTCATTCAGGGCAGTTTAAGAAGGAAAAATATCTATTTCAGTGTCTAGCACAGTAACAGAACCACAAAGGCTCAAAATATGTTTGTTAAACTGGTAAGTAACTAAATAAATAAAAAGTTCAATACTGGGCGGCGCCTGTGGCTGAAAAGGGTAGGGCACTGGCCCCATATGCCGGAGGTGGCAGGTTCAAACCCAGCCCCAGGCAAAAAAATGAATAAATAAATAAATAAATAATTCAGCATAATCTAGTCCGTTATCTTTCTAGCCTCATTTTTGGCCACTTGTTGCCTATACCCAAACACGCACATTTACACCAGTCCAGCAATAAAAAACTGTGCAGGTCTCTGGACATGCTGAGCTCTTCCGAAGCTTCTCTTCCTTTGTGGTTGCTGTTCCCTTTGTATGGAATACCCTAAACTACTTGAACACTTGGTGAACTCCTCTCAAATTCTTACTTTTGTTTAATTATTACATTCTTGGTGAAGTCTTCCCTGATTCCTTCTCTCTAAACCCAGGCAAGTTATATCTCCCAACCTCTGTATATCTCTATTTGTATTATAACTATCTCACTATTGACCTTAA